GAAACCAGTACCCTGATTGGAAGTTCAAAGAGTGTTTTTACTTAAACCCAGAGAGTGAAGTCTTCTTTGGGTATGTGGGGGCTGTTGAGAAGGAAAACAGAAGAAGGTTAAACATGTCTTGTCTTGCCGGGGATTCAGCTCAGTGATGCTGCTGCCTGCCTTGCCAGGTCCTGAGTTTGATCCCCGGTACCAAGAACAAAAAACAAACAAACAACCACAAAACATATGTTGTCTTACTGTGATTGGGTCCAGGGCTTCTTTACATCCATCTCCTGAAAGTTATTCCCCACTTCCCCACCCCCAGGCATGTATTCTTACAAGGAACCAGATCTGGAGAGAATCTGGCAGAAGGTACTGTTTGAGTCTGTTTCTGTTACCCTGATAATTTGCTTTTTTGCAATACTTGTAAAGGATCAGTTTTAGGTTTGAAGCATACAGCCCACCCACTGAGGCAAAGTGTTCATTTCTTAACTAAGCATATGCCTGATTCTGGGAGAAAATGTGAGAAGAGGTGAAAAAGGCTCCACACTTAGGGAAATAATGAATTCTTTAATGTTGAAAGACAAAAATTGAGGCTTTTGAATACTAAAAGTTAAAACTACATTTACATAATATCAAAACATGGATGCTACATAGTAATTTCACTTTTCCATTGATTCCTGCATACATACAACAAAGTTTCCTGCCCACTTACAAAAGGCCAGGCTTGATTTGGGTTTTGGTGATTCAATTGTGAAGACAGACAAGCTTCTTGCTCTCCTGAATCTTTTATCTGTGGAAGGCCTAAAATTAGAAAGTCTTTAGATAAGAAAGCCTGCATTTTTCATGTAAGTCTTAGGTTATAATACTGCCGGTCCTGTCAGCAGATACTCAGTATATGGAACCTAGGTATTTGAAACTCAGTACTCCTCTACACTGTTGAAATTCTCACCTGTTACCTGTGTAGGGGGATAAAATGGATGCTTAGTATTTATGCCTGCTTTACCATTTGTTTCACCTGCACTCTAGTTTGGCAGACTTGCACCCATTACCCATGATTACCAGTAATACATGTCTGTTATATCTGCTGCCAGCCTCACATTCCTACCGGGTCCTTACACTATTGAGGTTAGATAAACAGTTCCTAATCCAGAAAATAGATGGAAAAGAAGGAAACAAGTAAGATGAGAAAATAATCACAGACTGTACAAGTTGGTAAAAGAATGTGAGTAGATTAACAGTGTGGAGATTAAAGATAGGAAACTAATTTAGATTATGTAAAATGACCTCTCCCAAAAGATAATATGTACAGTGAAATTTAAGGATGATAATAAATCTAATATGAGAAAAGTAGAGGGAAGATCTTGGAAGAAATAATGAGTGAAAACAAAAAAAGCATTGATGAGTTGAGGGGGTCTCAGGAAAAGAAAGTGTGGCAGAGGATAGAAAATTAAAAGAAAGTAGTATAAGAAGTTTTAAACAATTAGGCAGGGATCAGATTATGCAAAGTATTGTAGGCTGTGATGACATGATTTTTCATCTCTTATGTTCTTGCTTACAGGTATTCAAATGGATAACAATAAGTTAAAGTTCTAAAGGGTAAAATGAATAAAGACAAATTTAATTCCAATTATACTAACCAAAAATTAAGATGTATACTAAATATTTAAATGGCAGCCAAGCCACTGATAATTACTCTCCTGAGAACTGCCCTTATTACAACACAGATGTGAGAAGGATTATTGAATCTTATGAGTTTTCTTATAAGGAAAATATACATATTCCTGTTAAGGTTTTAGCCATTTGTTATAATTGTGTACAAAAATGATGTTATATAATGATGATTATTCAAAACATGGTGAAAAATCATTAAAAAATTAAAATAACTATATGTACAATGATAATAATAGTATAGAACAATACAGTTCATTTAGTTTCTGAACATTTTCATTTTTGGAGTCATCTTTAAAATGGAGTCCACAGGTGGAAGACATGTTTTCTTCTGAAAACCAGCTATCCAACTTGGACATCATCATACTAGACTACTAAAGCTAAATGTAACCTGAAATGAAATGCAAGAGTTAACGTTTAAGTATGTCCATCAGCTAAAGGCTGATAGTCTTTTAAGGAAACCGCAGGTACAACATGAAATTTATGATGCCAACACTTGGTGTTTAAATTAAAGAAAAGAGGAAAATTCTCAACTAGCAGAAAAAAGAAAATGCTTTCGTTTGGGGTCTTCACTTGAAAACAAGTAAATATTTACTCATATTTGTGATTTGTGAACTCCTATTATTCTGTGAGAATTCTAGCTTTAAATGAGCTCAGCACTTATGTGAACAACTCATTAGATTCTTGCTGGAAGATTAACCATATTCTAGATTATCTAACCAATACTTTCACAGACACTTGCTCTTCTGGGCTCATTCTCCTTGCAATCAGTTAGTGGTAGTCAGGGAGTGAAGATTAATTTTAATATTTACCTTAGGCAAACAATTCAGAAGGCATATCTCCTGTTAAAATGTTATGTATCACTAAGCCAATTATGAAATATAAATGATTTTTGGATTATCTCAGTCCAAAAACTTGCTAACTACAGGATGGTCCCATCTACAGATAGTCTCTTAAAAGAAATTTATTTACTCTTTCTCATTTTATAGGACAACTGTATCTCTGACATATAAAAGAGGCATTTAAAATTAAAACATATGCCCCCTACTGTTATTTTTTTCTATTTAAGTTCCAATATTTTTGTTTATTTCTTTAGTGAGTAGGTGTGCACTAAGATAGATCAGACTGGCTGATAGCCTCTTGGGCCCAAGTGTTGGTAGACTGAAATATCACAGAACCTGGAAGTTGGTAAACCCATAAAACATATCTCATTGGTTTGTTTGCACAAGGGGATCGTACTACATTCAAAAAATTAACACATAAAAGTTTCTCAATATTCCAAAGAAAATTTATTTGTTAAACTGAAAAATACTAGACATAGTTCAATTTATGAACCAAAAACGTTTTCAGTCATGTAGGAACTACTTAATGTTGTATTTGCCATTAGGGTTACCATGTGAAATAATAGTATTCCAAGCTATTCTAGATATTGTGAAAAAAAACCCTTTTCAAACAGTTTCAATGAAAAATGTAGTGTGGACACCTACTGGCAATGATTTATTAAGTAACTTAGCATTTTAGAAGGAAACATCTTGTCTTTGATTCTAAATATTCAATTTTTATTTAGATTTCAGTTTAAGTCTATCTTTAATTGAAGGTATTATTATTGAGAAAAGCAAAATCATTAGGCTATTTAATCATTCAATTTACTGTATTACTATTTAGTTTAATGAAACAAATTGTTGGCCAAGGATTAGCAATACTAACAGTAGTATAGTGTTAGTATATATCCTCCACTGAGCTTGGAGAGAGTGCTTACATATCACATTTTCTCTCTTGTAAAAATAAATATTCCTAAGGATGTAAATCAAATAGGGAGAAGTGTAAAGCAAATGTAAGCTTCAGATATTGAACCTTCAGATGTCTTTATAAAGAAGACTACAGTATCAGTTAAGGTAAGAGTTGAAATCAAGCAATCTTGTAAAGATGCAGATATGAAGATTTGCAGTGAGAGTTTGAGGAAATAGCTCAGTACTAGAGTACTTGCCCAAAACTCCAGCATCCAAAAAAAAAAAGATTTACCATCAGATTTTTCTCCTGTTTTTTAATGAGCTTGGAAGTTGATCAGGAAGAGGTAGGTGATACATAGCGGAACTAGCTATCTGGCCTCCAAAACAGGCCAAAGGCAAACAATTAGGTCCAACCACTGAGATGAACTATGGCTTTCTATTTCATTTAGGTGTTAAGCAGAGCAAAGCATTTAAATCTAAATCACAGTTTAATCACAGTTAAATATCTACATAGAGGAAAGATAATTTTATGTAAGAAAAATTATACTTTCAGAAATCTCATTGGCTTGCAAATCATTGAAGATACTGAGTTTTCTCTGATGTTTATTGAACATCAAGAGAATTCTTTCCTTGTAGGCAATATCTCTGGCTAGGTTCTCCTCTAATATATCTTTATCACTTGAGAAAAGGTCTACCTCAACATACATTTTGATTTATAAAAGAGGAAATATTAGATATGTATAATGTTCTCAACAGGCAACAGGACTTCTAAGTCAAAGTTCTTAGACTTTGGCTTCACTACCACTTCTCAATGATCAAAAACAAGTAGTGATTAAGAGTTATTCAGATTCTAACACTTGAAAAAACTTAGGAGTTATTTCTAGCTTGATCATTTATTAGTTTTATAAAATTGGATAAGATGTCTCACTTTAGAAAGCTAGTTTTGTCCTTAGAAGATATGAATTAATAGAGACAACTTACCAGGATGATTGTGAATTTCCAAGAAGCTAAGGCACATTGCCTTAGTAATATGTGCCACTCAAATTAGGTGTAAAATGAATGATAATTTTAAAAATAATAAATATTATTCACCATGGTAGCACATAGGAAATCCATGTCTATGCTGAAACTGTTTGAGTTTGTTTTTACATTCAAAGTTTTCTTAAGTCTCATTACATAAAAGATTTACTTCAGGGCCGGGGATTTAGTTCAGTGGTTTCACCACCTGCTGCACAAGCGCAAGGACCCAAGTTCGATCCCCGGTACCAAAAAAAAATGATTTATTTCCAAACACATAAGGCAATTAGCAAATGGTAAATGGTATCTGTCCTCATATAATAGATACTCAAATGGAATGCTTTCTTTATTAATGACAGAATATAATCAGTCAATCCATTTGATTAATCATGGGTTTATTTCCATGCTAACCCACAATGTGGTGCATTACCCAAGCAGACTACCGTACCTTCTAAATTGTGCTATAAAACCTGCCTTGAAGTTTTCCTTCATTCTGCCAGAAGTAGGGATGAATTGTTCAACTCTTATTGGATGATCCCTACAGCAAACATCTCTAAGGTGCCACACAAATTAAATAGTGATTATTTCCTATTCATGTTACAGGTCAGTGGATGTGCCTATGAACCTATCACTCTGCTCTGGAATTGGAAATGAGTCCAGTTCTGCTGCAAGGTCTTCATTATTCGATAGTCTTGCTAAAACGATGAACGATGAATGGGGCCAGCCAGTTGAAAACTCACAATCTTGCCTTGGGGAACACAATTTACGGAGTCCAAGGGGACAATCAGAAAACATGATCAGCTCAGAGACCTGTCATGCACAGTACAGAAGGCTTGTCTGACTTACGAAGTACAGGCTATTTTATTGACTGGAAGATCAAAAAGGAATACATAGCAGAGATGCCCACAAAAGGGCAACCTCCAGAGTTTCTTACATTGCGAAAGACGTGTGCTCTTTCCTTTTGAGGTTTCAGCAGCCTAGAATAGGAAAGTCAATCCAGAGATGATGGAGTCCCTCAAACCCTGCCTCAAGCAAATAGTAGTCTGAAGGAGAGCAGGCATCATTCTACTTCATAGCTGGTAATAAACAACAGGAACAGGAAGCTCCCTTGCAAGATAATATTTTCTTTTATTTTAATGTTGAAAGATCAAGGGGTCCTGTGGACAATGGATATGAATGCAGTAATTTTAGAGATATGCATGTGCATCAAAGTGGGGGTAGAGAGTAGGATATATATATCTTAGGAATTTTTGCCTCTTTTTTCTCTGATTCTATTCTTTTTTTTTTTGGTACCAGGGATCAAACTCAGGTCCTTGCGCTTGCGCAGCAGGCGGCGAAACCACTGAGCTAAATTCCAGGCCCATATCTGATTCTATTCTTGCCAAAAAAAAGTAATTAATCTTCTGATCACCAACTTAGCTTTCTAGTGACCCTGATATAAGATACTAGAAAAAGACTGCTCCAAAGAAAAAGCAAAATTAGTTCAATGCTGAAAAAGTGATCTAGTTTTTCTCAGGTTATGCCAGAGATTTGGGGATTACTTCTTTTTTCAATATTGATACATGCTCAGTATGAAAGTTGCCTTTCCAAATTCTAACAAGATAAATGAAAACATTTAGAAGTAGTGCCTTTTGGAAGTTAGAAAAATTGTGCCCTCTCCCTCCTGGGAAGAACAGAATGGAAGAATGGGTTGTGTCAGTGTGTTTTTGTGTGTCCACGTGAGAGTGGGTTGGTGTCCATGTGCACATATTTATAATGTGATTCAGTAGATTTCATGTTGATGGTTAGCAACAGACCTCAAGTATAAAAGGGCAGGATTTTTAACCTTCTCTATCCTTTCCTAAGGGTCAGTTCTGGGGAGAAAGTAAGTGATGTATATACCGAAAAACATATTGCAAAACCATGAATTAAAAGCAGATAGTTTTCGTGGTGCTTCAACACTTGTTCTTTCTATGTAGCACTACATTTTTGAAGAGTTGAGTGTATCCAGAGGGATGCTTCTTGTTGGCTTCCTATGAGTGACCCACCATCTCCAGCACAACATGGGCTTGACCATGATAGAAAGTGAAGGCTATAGCATGTGCAGAGACAGTTGGTGCCACACATATTCACTTATCCTGGGTAAAGCACATAGAGCTGCTTGGTGAGGACTAGAGACTTGCTAAGAGGCATTTTCAGGTCATTTCTATGTCTGAAGATCACAGCACTCATGTATCTCCAAAGTGGTACATGGTAAATGGGGTACAGGTTGTCTACAGAAAGCCTAAATGGAGAAAAAAATGAATCCTTGCTTTGTTGTTTACTAATCTAAAAATAAAAAAGAGACAAATACTGTAGACTTGAAGGGAAAGATAACACAGACAGAATAAAACAGTAACTTGGAAGCCTTTTTAAAAAATTATGTTTTTTATTTTGTTTGAGACAATATCTTATTATGTAGTCTAGGAGAGCCTCAAACTTGTGTGATCCTCCTGCCTCAGCCTCTCAAGTACTGAGGCTACAAGTGTATACCTTAAATAACTGGACCCATGACAGCTCCTTCAGAATGAAAATATGACATTTCTTTCTCCAATCACACCCCCAAATCTGAAATCTAGTCTCACATTAAAAACTGTAACAGTTTAGATCATGTTCGCTTATGACTGAATAACAGCAAGAGCATCTAAAGAAAGGATTAAGAGGTATGAATTATTTTCTCAATGAACAGAAAAATAATATGTGTAAGCTTCAGATCAAGCAATTACCTGAATGCAGACTGTATGCTTCCACAGTATAAATAAAAATCTGTCCCATTTATTGTTTACTTATTTATTTCATACTAAGGCCTTTGATTACAAAAATCCCACAAGGTGGTTGCAATGACACTAATTGGAAATTAAGAAAATTGAAGCTAATATATTTTCCATGACAAAGCTTCCAGAAGCAATGAAAATATTTAATTTCTCTCATGTAGCATAAAAATACACTTTTATTTGTCATTTTTAATTTTGTCTATTTTACTAGAAATCTCGACTCAAGTTTTCTGGTCCACAGAAAAAGTTAGGTTTTCACAAAGATTTATATTTTTTAAAAGCAGTTTCTAAAATAACTGTAGGAAGGGTCGGGGATTTAGCTCAGTGGTTTCGCAGCCTGCTGTGCAAGCCCAAGGACCCAAGTTCGATCTCCGGTACAAAAACAAAACAAAACAAAACAAAAAAAACCCTAAAATAACTGTGGGAAAAAGTGAATCTATTAACTAGATGAATTATCACTGGATTCCACTTATGATTTCATGTTTTATACTTCGCCTCCTTTTCCCTGGCCATGCCCCCACAGTCCTAGATAATTTAGGACTGATTACCAGGGGTCAACATCTGTGTGTCCTACTGTCTAGTCTTACCTTCAGCACTCCGCTGACTTCTGCACTCCTTTAACAAAAGGATTGTGTTGAATTCATCCTTATTTCTTCAATGTCTAATGGCAGGCCAAGCACTTACTAGGTGATCATGAAAGGTTTGTAAAGTTTATTAAAATAATTTATCATTTTAGCTGTTGTTTGTGTTGAGGTAATTTTTCTGAGGGAGCATCAATAGCTAGCTCCCTTTTTATCTACCTCAGGTCTGAACATTATGAAATATGGTCCCACAATATTCGTGATAAGGACAAAATTGGAAAGTAACATTAGAAAAAGTCTCGTTAGCAAAAGAGCCTCATAACTGAATTATTAACCCCACAGCACAGGAAAGGCTGGGCCTAAGCCCACTTCAGACCTCCTCAGCCCTCCTAGGGACACAGAAACTAAAGGGACACTGGACAAGAGAAAATAGGAAGTTGGGGCTAAGCCACACATGCCCAGCTTTATGTCCAAAATTACCAGAGAAGTAAATTTCTTCATCTACCCAAGAACAAATTTTTTTTTAAAATGAGGTAATCTATTAAAGCTCTGTTCACAGACAAGAAAAACATCAGGAACTGAGAAAAAGTGTTTGCAGGTAATAGTATATGACTTTTATCAGTACTCCAAAGTTGAGTGCTGTAGTGGTAAATTGCAGTCTCAGCTTTGTTCATTAATTTTGATAGGAGAGTTCTCCACAAAAGAGTTAAGCACAGAACAGTGGTAGTATTTAATGAAAAATGCAACTACAAAAGAGCAAGAAGATCATTTCCCAGTTGCATGTAAGAACACATACAAATAAAACACCTGGTAACCAAAATTGGTTGTGTGAGAGGTGAAAAAAAAATCAAGACAATTAAAGTTTTATTATAACTTTCCATGATATAACTGTGGGTGGTCCCTGGAGAAAATTTTTGAACAAATGATTGAGGTTTGAGAAGTCACAAGTAGTTTGCAGAATGCTAACAGTGAAGATACATTATAAGGTAACATGCAGTTATTCTTAGAATTTAAATGAATATTTCAGAACAATGTTTTAAAATGTAGATATGTGGTTTCCATAGATATTTCATAGTTTCACATTTAATTAGCCCAGAATTGACCTGAAGCTATACTATAGTATCTAATTTTTATTTCCTATAACTGTTGATCCAAGGTAGACTGTTTAGGTTACATATCCAAGGACATGCCCAACTTTTTAAAGGTTGATGCATGCTAGAAAAAAAGGAGAGATCCTGGAGTGTGAATCAGAGACTTAGGTCCTGGTTACTCCATCAACCATTTGTGCAACCCTGCAGATTTCCACCTTTCTAGATACCACTGTAAAGAGTTGAAATAAAAAGGACTCTGAGAGATATGCTATTCATGTTTCCTCATCCTATGGAAGATGCTCTGAGAATTTAGAGGAAGCCATTTTCCCAAGGAAACCAAGGAAGTCAGTGGAACAGCTGGGACCAGAATCCAGACATTCTCATTCCTAATTTATTTTTTCATCCAAATAATCTCTCTGGTTTCTTTTAATTCTAAAATTCTATGATTATAATGACTGCCTCTTCATCACAATTCTTTCCCAAAACACGCTGGGACCATAACTCTTCCTTCTCCCCATTATCCCATTGTTCATATGTGGAAACAGAAATTCAGAGATATATGCACTGAGACACATAATTTGGCCATTCTGAGAACAGAAATATATGGTCATTTCCAACTCTTTGCTTTTCATGTACCTCAAAAGGGAGCAATTCTTCTCAAGGATACACAGAGAGCCAAACTTAAAGTGAACTTTACATTTACATACTTAGTTTCCTTCTAAAATTCTTCTTGGGAACATAGACCAGAAAGAGAGTCATGTAACTTTCTCTGAGAGATGACTGCATGGTTTTCCTTTAAAAAGAAAAGGAGAGACTTCAAGACAGACAGTTTAATGAATGTTTAGATTTTCTAGTGTCTAACCGATAAATATTAGCAAATGCATACAATATCCTTCAGCAATATTCTAGAAAAATCCCTTAAATTCTGAGTACATCATCTGTATTTTATAATCCTTTTTCAAAGCTTGGATAATTTCAATGTGGATTTATCCATATTATAAAGAATTTTCAAAGAATATTGCTATATTCCTACATACGAATTGGACGTTAATCCCTCTCCTTTCACTCCTAGTAGTGTCCATGATATTTGGCTATTCTCTGTCCTCCAGAAGAGCAGTATTATCCCTGGATTAAGAGTTAGATACCACAACTACTTCATTGTTGTCAGTAAATGTGTATTACTACTTGGGAGTGTCTTTTAAACTATGGCTAAGTACTGGGAAGAACACTTTATTCTGGCTCTTGAGTGCACCCTAAGAGATGGAAGTTAGAAGGTTAGATGGTACATAGACATCAACATGTGCTATTTCTCAATTCCTTTATGAACATTATGTTTTTCACTGCACAGGAATCAGCAGATACTTGAAATGGTCATCTACACTTCATCAGGTGCAAGACTGCTCTGCAGCATCTAATCTTAGGCACAGGCTCCCAGGTCACCCAGTAGAATATAACTTCTTAGGACAAGAGGCTGAATTATCCAGTTTTCCTGCCTCTCCTATGAGGTCCTGCTTCCCCTTTCCCCTTACAGTTCAGCTCTCCTTGTTATCTTTGTTACACTTAGCAAAAGATAACAGATTAAGCCAAGTGTAAAGATAATGAAATATAAATTAGTAAGTTTTCCAGCCTTT